TTCCTTCCTCCTCCCTCCAACAACCACCATCCACCTGTCTCTTATACACATCTAGATGTGTATAAGAGACAGGAGAGAGAGAGAGAGAGAGAGAGAGAGAGAGAGAGAGAGAGAGAGAAAGTTGAGCCCCTTTGGGGCAGCCGTTGGGCATTCAGGATAGTGCAAAGAAAGCGCCAGCCACCCACACGATGGCGGTGTGAAGAGGAGGCAGGGCAGGGCAGGAAGGACCTGCTCTCAGGTATCTCCTTTGACGAATTGGGTACGAGGAAGAAAGAAAAGAGGTTTGAATTTATTAGAAGAACGATTCAACTGAAAGGATTTCAGTCTTAGTCGTCGTCCCGAGTCGCGGTCCTAGAGTCCTAATGATCCCAGTCCCATGAAAAGTAACTGACGGCAGGCCCAGCAGCCGAAGTGATGAATTTAGGCCATCAGAAAAGTTTAGAACCGTTAGAATTCAGGTAGGCCTGGTACTCGACGCTAAGAGCCCAAAGTCCCAGTCCAAATTTAGCAGCAGCACATCCTGGGAAAGTCCAGTGGATTCCGTAACTGACGAAAGTGCAGCCAACAGGCCCGGGTGAACGCTTGTGCGACCATACAGGCAGACTGGTCGGGGAGGCTGCAGAAGGTGCTGGTGCAGCAGCGCCATAGCTAGGGCTAGCAAGAAAGAAGACCACCACCATAGCTAATACGGCAGTAGGAGAGAGAAAGAGAGGCGAGTGCATTCAGAGAGTGAGAGTGATCAATTCAAGTGAGGAGAGTGAGTGATACAAATGAAGAGAGGCAGCAAGGCAGAGAGAGAGAGAGAGAGAGAGAGAGAGAGAGAGAGAGAGAGAGAGAGAGAGAGAGAGAGAGAGAGAGAGAGAGAGAGAGAGGAGAGATTGCCTGAGTTAGAGAGGGATGACTGGCCGTCCATAGCCGCTGGACTATGAGAATGGAACTCGTACAATTTGTGTGTGGACACTGTGGAGATTAATAATTTGGCACTTTCACCTGATATCAATCCCGTTTCTCTGCTCTTGAGTGTTTCCGTGTGGACATTGGTGTCATGCATCGTTGCGATTGGAGTTGAATTTCAGTCGGTTCATTGCACAACCACCAAACCAGATTAACGACTTCACAGGGGTTTGATTTTTTTGCCGAATTGCATTTTCCAAGGAGTCCATCCCACCTTCATTCGCTTGAAATCCTCCTTACGAAAGACACGCTCGAGCTCCCTTGTAGCTGCGACCAACGAAGCCTCCTTTCCGGCATCCGTCCCTCCTCCAACTGCCAAGTTCACCGGGTCAACTGATGCTTCCGCAAAACACCTGCAGCCACGTTTGTTTCCCCCCACACACAATCACAAAACCCTTGGCTAAGTGAGACATCTGCAGCATTTGCATGTGGAGCGAAATCAGACCAAACTGAGTAGGCCTAAAGGCCCTAAACCCTAAACCAAGTAGTCTGCGTCAAACCAGACTACACAATAATGAACCACAGGGTGTGCCGCAACCCTAAGCCCTACACCAAATAGTGAGCCAGTTCCAGACCAGACTACACACTAAATGACAGTCCAGTGTTTCATTTCCCACTGAACTACAGACCATGCTATGGACAGCCAACGACGCGATACAGGCACAAGCACGTTACAAGCCTCGGCACACATTCTCGGAGGCGTTATGGGCCAGTCAAAGGCTGTGGACTTGAACTCAGATCTGTCCGAGTTCAAATAGTTAGATCCAACTGACTTTGTTATTGGATCCAATAGGATTCGAACTCAGATCTCTTTGCTAAAAGAAAACGGTTATGTGCATACCATTTATCCACGAGCCAGGTAAAACAAACTTCTTTCTTTTTTTTCAGTCCTCAGTGTTTGTGTGCTTGTTCAGTTCTGCAGACACTCGGAAATCGTTGCAGCCACGATGACCCCCAAAACTGTCCCAGACAGAAGTAGCAACACTGCTGCAACAGGGGGAAAAGGGGGGGCGGGGTGTCTCCTTTTTTCCCAATCTCAGTTATCAAACAAGAAAACAACAATTTCTCTCCGTTTGTATTACAGTCTAGGTTACCTGGGACACACCCGGCCAGCATGCCCGCCTGCCACGCTCTGCACCAGGAGGGTCACCCGCCTGGGTCAACCCGTACATGTTACCACTTTGGGCATTCAGCGTCGAGGTTCCTGGCTGTAATTTCGGCATTTCTTGAACCGAAATCATCAGGGCTTACAGGGTTCCCACCTGCAGGACCTCACAATATCAGTTCCAAAAACACCGAAATTGGGACTCGGACCCCTATGATAAGGAAGCACACCTGGTGTAGGACAGGTGGAAGACAACAACGTACGGAGGGGGAAGGTAGACAGCAAGCCTGAGCTAGGGGCAAAAACTTCTAGGCCACGTACAACTGATTAAACGGAATTTCAAACCACATCAAACCAAGTTGGGATCCCTCCCCTATAGGGGCAAGAACTTCTAGGCCAGGTACAACGGATTCAACCACATCAAACCGCGTCAGGATCCCTCCCCTAAACCCCTGTATCGTTCTTTCTTAAAACAAAAACTCAAACATGTATTTTTTATTTTTTATTTTCCTCAAAAGGACCCAAAAACTGGCACAAAGTTCTGAAAAATAGGAAATCCTCGAAGAGGGCCCAACATTTTCCCCTAATGTTAACAAGTGTACGAACGTGGAGGGTGGAGGTACTGACTTGTGGAGGGAAGGGGTGCAGTTAAGACACAGAGAGAGAGAGAGAGAGAGAGAGAGAGAGAGAGAGAGAGAGAGAGAGAGAGAGAGA